TGTGTGTGTGTGTGTGCTTACAGGAATAACCATGACGTTGTTCTCCAGGAAGACCTTGTCAGCATCTGGTGTGGTGGGACCATTGGCACCCTCAGCAATGATCTACAACAGACAAAATACAAACAAACATGACTGCCCCGTCTTTTATCGTGTGAATTTAAATGTGAACTCAAAGCAGAGCATTGTGGGTAAATCGAGGCGACTCTTTACCTTGGCCTTGATCCTGGGGGCATTGACACGTGTGAGCTGCTTTTCTCCAGCAGCAGGGATCAGGATGTGGCAGTCGGCTTCCAAAATGTTCCCTTCGTAGGGTTTGGCTCCTGGGAAGCCCACGATGGTGCCGTGTTGCTGCAGAGTCACACAAACACACACAGAGGATAAATATTACAATAAATCTTTTGCACAGATATAATAAATTACTCTTATTGTCTTTTTGATTGCAGTGCTTTGGTTACACTTGCAGTGGCGTAGTAATAGTGTGTCTATCCATCGCGGTAAAAAATAAGATAAAACAGATGAGACAGAAGTGTAGTGAAGGCAGTTGTGCTGGTACCAGTTTGTAGTCCTCCAGCTGTTTGGGGTCGATGCCCTCTGGGTTGTAGATGGCTCCGTCAATCTCACCAATGCCCACGCACTTGGCCCCAAACCTGTGCAGGTACCTCATGGAGTGGAGACCCACATTACCAAAGCCCTGTGAAAAGTCACAGCAATCCAACATAATCATGACTTTTAAATAATTAAATAATATCAACAGTAAACATCATTTTATTGTTACAACCTGTTTTCCACAACCATATGATTCCACTACGGACTCTGGTGCCACCATGTGGCTGGTTTGGCTCATAACATGACCATCATCAACTGTATCATGACTTGAAAGGAGACTTCACATGATCAATTGCAATATTAATCAAATATTCTGTGTAATGTGGGCTAGAAATGGAACAGGACAAATAAGATACTTCAATATACTTCATTACTGATGCCTGTCTCCTGTAAATTTAATATTGCTATAAAACAGTCCAATCACAGACTTGATTTGAGATTAAAGGAACAGCTGGATAAATGGTGTAGCAAAATCTCAAGTTTGTTAATTTCTATCATCTCCTGGTATAAACAATAATCACCATCAGACTAGTGGACCACAGTGATAGGAATAGCTAACTTCACAAGAAAACTAAACTAAAACATGCTTCTGTTTTGATCTTGATACTGTACTGGAGATGAGATCTGCTCTCTCCTCACTCCCTAATAAATCTCTAAGAAAATCTAATCTTAGCACAACATAATCCTCAAACACACACACACACACTCACACACTCACACACAAAGGGATTAGCTTTTTCAACATCCACGTCATGATTCAGCTGTTGTGACAGTTTTTTCACCTCCTAAATGACGCCCTCGTTCAAATACCCAGTCCACATCCCCAAGTGCAATTTTTTCTGTATTGTTGTGGGGAAAAATTGCCTCTTTGCAAGTTTCTATATGAGCAAGGATGGGATATTTGTGGGTGTGTAAGGAAACACATAAGAGCAGATCCTCTTTCATGTGTCTGAACGTTACACTGCCATCCTGACAGACATTTGTGTTGAGTGAAATGCAGCTGAACTTAAAGGGTCGTTATGAAGAATATCACATTACATGAAAAAGTGGTAATTATAGAAAACATTCTGGGAAAGCAGTGGAGGCCAGTGCCTAGGGGTTCCCTACCCATGTGTCATTGTAAGTGTGTGTGTGTGTGTGTGTGTGTGCACATGACACGTGAGCAGCTGCCATGTGACAATTGGAAGTGAAACTGCTCTTAGACCACAGACACACTTCTGCTTTAAAATCACAGTATAGTTTACAGCAGAGGTATCCTTCTAGAGAGAATGGCCTTTCCATGATCTTACTGTTTAATGTACCACAGTACTCTTTGTTTAAGACTTACATGAATCATTTTCTATTTATTTCATTTAGCCCTTGATGGTAAAACAAAAACAGCATAACTGTCTATATATAACTCCAACTAAGTCTTGACATGCAGGACTTGCAGGACTCTCTTACTGAATGATAATTTCTCATGTACAAACAAGGGAATCGCCTTCAGTTCACTGCTGTCTGCTTGGTATGAGGAGATCAGGGCCAGGCTAAAACAGATGGCATTCTCAGATTGAGGCGTAGCTCTAAAACCCCCTCATCATGAAATTTAAATGAAAAATCCTGTGAGTATCTGTGAGCAAATATCTGAAACACATTGAGGTTCTCATCTTACCTCTCGAGTAAAAAAAATAATAATTCTACTATGATTAAACCATGTTTGTGTGTGCGTACCTGGATGACGAAGGTCTTGTCCTGGAAGCCTGGTGTCAGGCCCAGCATGCTCATGTAAGACGCCTCGTTAATGAAGTTCTCGATGCCGTGGAAAACTCCACGACCTGTGGCAGAGATACGTCCATGGATTCCTCCCTGGCTGATGGGCTTTCCCGTCACACAAGCATGGGCGTTGATGTCCTGCACACACATGAAGAGAAGATCAAACCACCCAGGCTACGGACTGTAGAAGATTATGTACACAGCATTGGCAAACGGGTTACCAAGAAGATTTTCAAAGCTTTAATTTAAGTTTACCACTCTAGGAAAGCATTTGGAGAGTAAGCAGCATCCTCCAAGGCTGAATGTGATTGGCTCAATAAAGCAAACGGAGCCCAAAACATACAGTTCTTAAAGCCTTAATGTTTTTTATTGAACCTCGAGATTGTTACCAAAATAGAAAGAAAATCAGATGCTTTTTGAATGTAATTAAATACAGTTGGAGATTTTTGAGAATCAGCATCTAGAGGCCTTTAGAAGTACTGCATCTTTCCTTTCTGCATTGGCTCCAGCTTTTGGTCATGGTGTTAACTGCCCGACATACACAGAGTAAGAGGTTGTGTAGTGCCACAGTACCAGGCAGTTCGACAGCTGACTGCACGTCAATACTCACTACCCATAATCCTCTGCCCTCAGATACCCAGAGCAAGAATGTGTCACCCACTCTAAAGCCCTGCCAGGGGTATCTGGAACAGAGCACACATGACTTCTGTAGGTATAGTTGAGAGGAGGGCTGCACATAATTATTCCAGATATTATTGAAATTGCAATATGGTCAAGTTCAAATATCCAGATCACAGAAGCTGCAATTTTTTTTTGATAAAAAGGTCAAATGTGTGACACAACAGCATTATAACAAGTACTGTAGTGCTGCAGGGATTCCCTAGCCTACAAATCTTGTTCTCCAGAAGTAAGAAGATGTACAGTAAGTGTTGGTACAGACACCAACCGATGTCACATCATCGTGATTGTATTAGTTTTGAAAGGAAAATTATCATTCCTACTAATCATAAATCATATCACAATAGCAATATCTGTCAAGACAGTCGAAATATGATTTTTTTTTATCATATCGTGCAGCCCTAGTAATGAGGAGAGAGAACTGACTAATCATAAAATATCAAATTCAAAATGACTAAAACACAAAATGCAGGTTTTAGTAGAAAAAAAACAAAAAAGATTTATCTACCAAAATGGGTCACAATGTTACAATTTGAATGATGCAGGTATGTAGATGCTTGGTAAATATTGATTCTACATAGATTTGTGATTTTGAGCCAATAGAATTACAGCATAACACTCACACAAATACCTGACTATACCTAGAGAAAATAGATGGTAAAAAAAACAAAAAAGATAATAAATAATGGAGAAAAAAAAATTTCAAAATATAACTGGCATTTATGTAATGCTTTAATATCTGACAAAAACAAGTCGATCGTGAGTTCAACCACAGTCAAAAACCCAAAGATTTTTAATTTATGGAAAGCAGCAACTCCTAGAAGCTAGAAGTAGTGAGTGTTTGGCCTTTTTGTTGGATAACTGATTTCATTAATTAGATTTTTTGCCAAATAACTACTTTCGTGTAGAATTACTCTTCTTAAAACTGCAGTTGGCTTTTCCTAACTCCTTCTGAATTTACTTTTCTTTTTTCCTTGACCTCAAAACAGTTCAAATCAAGGTTAATATGAGTATTTGACTAATATAATTTCTGAGTGACTATTCAGCTTACACCAATAACAGCTGTGATATATACATGAACACATGCATAAACACACACGAGTAAATATTTTCCATCTTTAGTCAAATATGCCATGTTTGACAGGTTTTGATACCAGAATGCTTAACTGATAACACAAACACACACTGAGGGCTTAGTGCGTAAAACTGCTTTTAAAGAGAGGAGGAATGACTCAGTGGTCGGCTGTGAAGGGAGAGGCAGGAAACCACTGTGCATGGTTTACATGTGACTCATTCCTTGTTTTTAATTTGGCCTATTTTTGAATTCGTACCAAAAACCAGCCAACTCATACAGTTTGCTCGTGTATGTCTGAGAACTTACGGTGTGTGCGATGGTGTTGGCATATGTGTCAGCAATCCAGGACATTTCCCTCTCTCCTGTGCTCATATCTGGGGCCGGGACATCGATGCCAGGTCCTGGTTAAAGAAGACGGGTAAGATAGGGAGGGAGGACGAAGTGGGAGACTTAATAAAAGGAGAGTACTTCACACACAGGACGGTTAACACAAAGTTTTTTCTTATAGTATAATATCACAAACCAGGTTTTAATCCTGACAACTAGGTACGGAAAGTTTGAATGAACATAACATCACTGGCAATATGAACTTGAATGACTTGAATGTGAGTTCCATGTTTTGTGTCCTTGTGTCACATATACATGTGCCCTTAAGGGCCTCATATCCTAGAACAAGGTCCAAAAACAGAAGCAAGCATGCGAAGAGGTGGGGCGGGGGATGGGACTATTAATGTCGTACTGTACTTCCACTGCTCAACTCACTTTTGGTACCTCTACTTTATTTTCCACTATAGTTAGTACTTTAGAGAGTACCCCCTCAACATAGGTGGAGCTTATCTTCAGAGCAACACTATTCCAGCAGTTGGGAAACACCCTGGAAACAACAGAGAGCTTTACTTTGATCTTGAGAAGCTACAGCCTTTACTCACTGAGAAACCTACACTGTACATTTACTGCCAGATTGACAACTTCACTGCTCTCTCTCTTTCACTCATCCACCGACAACAAGGGAGCTGCCACTCTTATAACTATTTAAAAACGTGGGGTTTATGAAGGAAGTCCTGTGACTAATTAGTGTTCTGCAGTGTTTTCAGATCACCTTTCACTACCAAGCTCAGGTCACTTGGAACCTCGACCAAGGTGGTACCAAAATAAAATGTATCTTTAATAGAAAACCAAAACTGAGCGAGAGTCGAGTCGAGTCGAGCCATAACCTGTGGTTGAAAAGAGGCTTAAGAGGAAGAATGATGAAGGATGATTTCTCGACAGGGCTAGTTTGACCATGTTACAGTCATACTGACAAACACAGGCAGTGATGTGTGCAGCTTTTCCTCCAGGGTGTGTAGAAATTCAATAGTGAAGGCCCTTATATAAAAACCTCACTGAATTACACAACTATTGCTAGCTACGGGCATATAACAGTGTCATATCTCCATTTGCTATATTTGAAGTGAAATTGAGTGATTATATACATTAACAAATGCATATATTATATATATGCATATACATATACACACACACATACATACATACATATACACACACACGTGGAATTTCTATCTCAAGGTCCTGCTTCTTTTTCACCATTATTAATTTTCTCCCCTTCCAGTTGACACAGGCACTCCTTGTGCTACCCCGACCTGAATAAACAGCCCTAGATGACAGGAAATGTTTACTTCTCTGGGTGGAAACATTCTCCGCTCACCACCACAGCCATTGTAACTGAGTCAAAGAACACTGTCACGCACCAAATACTAAGCTGTGCCACAAATGAATACTCCCACAACTTTTAAAGTAATAACTTTAATAGTTAGCTGTTTTAAACAACCAGTTTAATTCACACACTCACATACAAAAACTCACCAATAAAACCCTTCTTGGCCAGCTCAATAGTGAATCTCCTGGTAATCTTCTCCAGCTCATTATCCTGCAACAGACAGACACATTATAGAGTTTTTAAAAAACATGTTATTGCTTGGTTACAATGGAATAAGACATTCAAGGAAGCCAAGTTATTAAACAAAAAATGGACAACAAAAAAGACACAGTGCATATGCAGGTCATATAAAACAATAAACCCATTAGATATTCAGAAAGATACCAGGATTTTAACAAACTTGACATTTATTTTAGGTTTAGTTCCAGTTAACTTTAAGCTCAGACCTTCATGTCTGTTTATGGCCATCAATCAATAAAATGCATGGTAGGCACCATTAGTTAATTAAAAGAATAAGAACATTTACCTTAAACCACAAAATACTTATATGAGTAGAGAACCTAGTCATCTACTGACACTATAGTTCTTCCAACCTTTAAACTAAAACTTAATCTAAAAAGAAACAGAGGGATTTGATCATCTGCTTTATCTGTCGAATGTAAACAAACATCCCCTGTTCTCTCTCGTTTCCCCATCACTATCTCTCTCTCTTAATTATTCTGCCCTCACATTAATCAAGAAATGAAAGGACAAGATCCAGCCACCCGGCCTTTATCATTCTAGTGTGATTGAATCATCCTCTGTGTTTGTTTGTTTGTGTGTGAGAAAGAGACAGAGAAACACAGGAATACTGTTATCCACTGACTGTCAGTCTAGTGAATGTTAAGTGTTCATCTTAGGGCTTTGTTGCTTTTCCTCTGTGTATTATAGAGCAGTTAAACATGTATGTGCAGCTCTACATGTGCACGCGGGTGTAGATGAAGAGAATTGACATTAGAAGGCTTACAGAGTAATTCCTGGGGTTGATCTTGACTCCAGCTTTGGCTCCCCCAAATGGCACATCTGGAGGACAATAATACAGCTTAAAAACCACGGCAACATCTACATGCGTGTGCCGCACACACACAAGATTAAAATGTAGATTCACGTTTCTTAATGTTTAAAATCGGCAGAAAAAGAAGGGAAAAAAAGATGGATAACTGTAGTCAAAACTACTGACCTTGGTAAGACAGACAGAATTAATATGTATGTGGGAATCAGGAGATAACCAGGAGGCTTTGTGGAGTGAGAGAGAGACTTTAATACTTACCAACCAACAGCACACTTGTTAGGTCGATCAGAGAGGCCAGGGCTTTTTATCCTCATCCACAGACACGATCTGGTACTGCTAACGGATACCTGGAGGACAGCACACGACACACAACACACACACACACACACACACACACAGACACACACAACAGAGCAGTTTACAACACTGCCACCATACAAAGAAAAATGTTTTTATTATATTGAAATAGATTTTTTCTACATTTCTTAATCAAAACGTGCACTTCGTTTTTATATTTTTATCTATAGATTATCAGTTAAAGCAACTTGTATACGGGCAGTAGTTTTACCCTACACTCAAACTGTCTCCAGTATGTCTGCAGCTCTACAGTAAAAGCAGTAAAAAAAATAATAATTAATGGCAGAGACCGAGTCAAAGACTGGACTGGACCAGTATATCCTCCACAATACCACATGAACAGGTCAGAGATCACTGATTGCATCTGGCAGTCACGGCAGCAGCAATGGGCGGGTGGAGACCGAATGAACCAATCCCAGCCCATGTCTGGGGTTTACTACCGTCGCCACGGTAACACGTGCGGGCCAGCCTGTGCGCGGCGTTACATGAGATCGTACAGCTGGGCCGCCCGAGTCACAGTACTCCGTCGCACTGGCACGGTGTGCGTGAGAGACCAAATATAGCTCGTCCAGAGTTACTCACACAGAGAGACCCCAAGGGCAAACAGCACAGAGGTGAGACGGCGGACTGCTTTATGGGGGCAAAAGCGCCGCGGGTATCTACTTTCATGCCCACCCACTATGACGTCATCTTTAAGTGCCACTGAAAAGACCTATTTTTGCACCCACCTAAAGATCAAACCTTTCAAAACAAGGCTCCATCCGGCTCCAGAGAGCCGCTGCGTCCGAGATCAGCTGAGTAACCTTGGCTAACCGGCAGAGGACAATCCGGAGCTCACTGATCAAATTAAAAAGAGAAAAAAGGCAGGCTTCTTACCCATCCCCCACACAACCACTCATTTTCCAACCAACCCAACAGTTCACCACAGCAACCAGAGCAACATATCTGTAAACACATTCCTCTGTAATGGAGGGCAGGTTTTTGGAAATAAACTGAGCCCACGCTGAAATGTAGTCAGCTCGGACTCATTTCTACAGTCTGGACTGAACGATGATTATGATGCCGCTTTCTGCCTCAGAGCCTCTCGGGTCTAAAGTAATCTGCCAAACATCTACACTCCTTGTTTGGGATTTGGCTCGAACAACGATGTGTTGGGTTTTAATTACTGGTTTAATTATTCAGTGCATTTCCCCCTTTTTTTCCTTTTTTCATAATTATTAATAATGATAATAATCTTGTACTTTTAACACACACATACTAGATTGTTAGTCTTTTTAAAATAGTGTTTTCTTTTTAATTAGACACACTATTATTCATGCTATTCTGAACTGATTGTATTGGCATCTCTTTTTTCCCTCTTCTGTAAAAAGATGTTAAAAAAGAAACTTTGGACCAAGACTGATTCACTTATAGTGGTGGTAAGTTCTCTCAAACAATATAATAAACATATATAAAGCTGAAGCTTCAATAATGGGATGTGGGAAGGAGAGATTTTGCTCAACAGGCAAAGACTCTACTGAATGGCTTTTAACTTTTAATACAGTATGGGATACCCCTTTATACCAGTGCAACTACAAGACGCTGCTGCACTTACAGTTATTCCACTTCTGCACAGAAAGGAGAAGGATGTTCTTTATTTTTGCTAACTAAAGAAAACTTGAGTGGCTGGTACAATTTAACAAAAGCAAAAAAAACTTTCCACAGACTCTTCTGGGGGTGTGCAAACAACTAATCATACATGCTCACACTGAGGTAAGGAGGTAAACGGGGGGTAATGAGCGCTACATGCATACACACAAACAGCCTTTGCACTTTGTAGTTTGGTCTGAACACAGCCAAGGGTCTTTGTGCTATATTAATGATTAAACCCACTGGAAAATAACCGCTCTTCCTCCTATTCAACCCCTCTATTATCCGTGCTTGTTTAATGGGCTGCTACAATGAATACATTGTGAATAGTCATGAAGTCAAATTGTGCTTTTATATGCCAGCTTAAGAAGAAGAAGAAGCAGCAGTAGTTGCTGTGGTGCAACAGTGGTTCTTATGGGAATTATCATCATGTACAAGATATTTTTACTGGAAGTTGGAAGGCTCAGTCCAAACAATGAGTCTTCCTCCTGTTTGGTATCAAAAGTTTACACTTTCTTTGATTTGTGTTTTCCTACCGTTAGGAACAACAGCAGAGACTGGAGGATATTTAGTAAAACCTCCACTGTAGAGGACTGTTAATGCCAGGATGGGTTTAGCTTTGGATCGAAGTGTCTGTGCTCTCCTCGGGCTTTTATGATACGGATAGAGGCACTGACTCTCAGTTAATGTTATAAACGTTCACCTCTATGGATTGTCTGAGTGATAACTCGCTGCATCGCCTGGAGATTCAGAAACTTATCCATTACCGCTAAGTAGTTCGGGGGAGAAATCTGTACTATTATTTTATCTGGGAGCCATAAAAGACGGACTTGTCAGAGACTGTTTACTAATGTTTTCGACCTCATGTACGTACAGCACGGGGCCCCACGCACCATCTGCGTATCTCCAGCAGAAATATGTCTCCCCAGAAATAGGTCCAACATTCACTACAACAAGCAGACGCAGTAAAGGGGCTGGCGTACTGTTAACAGCAGGCCAATGTCCGCTTCACGCCACTCAAACACGGCCTTTGACTGACTGGCTCACTGAATGTCTCTTTCCACTGAGAATGCCTCCTCTCCACAGCACCTCCCCCACCTGTCACACTGCTGACAAATAGGAGAGCCTGGAAACACAACCACCCCCTCCCCAGCTCCCACACCTCCTGTCTTCCTATACATCATATCCTTCTATTTGCAAAATTTACCCAGAGAGCACGGCAGCGGTAGCCCATAGTGCCTCTGCTTTGAACTTTGAACCTTGAACCAAAGAGGCTGTGTCACTCTGTCATGTCATATTATACTCAACGCCAACACATTGCACATGAATCCTGTTTAAACTTGTTTTGTTGTGCGTTCGTCTAAAGAATGGATGTGTATTTACCCTGATTTTGACACGCATGACTCATCTGACGATACAAAAAGGTATTTTTGTGCAGCCGAGGCCTGAAATGCTCAATGACACAACACCTGGTGCCTTTAGGGCGGCCACCTCCATCACATCTGACACACACGTTACAATAATGCCACACAAGATCAGAGATAACAAGAAACAAACATCCGTGTAGTTTTGAACCACTGGATTGTGGGAAACTGCATTATGTATCAAGGGCCTGGTGGAAATCACTGTAGGAGATTTAAGATGAAACATAAAGGCTGCAGCACCTGCGAGCTAACAAACTACAGTGCCATCTCAGCCACAGGTGAGTCTGGAAGGTCACTGGAAAAAAACTGCACACAAACTCCTGAGAGCAGTGCGCAGTTTATAAAGAGACACAGGAAACAAACAGAGCAAATACGCAGTGACTTACAACAACAACAAAACAAAACAAGGCTGTAGTGAACTGCACAGCACGCTTATGATAAAACAGTGGAGCTGTGTGCAACGGTGTCACATTATCATCATCAGCTGTTTTAACTGGCTAACGTTGCTGCTAACTAATGCTAAGAAGCTAAAGCTATCAGACCCAGGGTGTGGGGGGGCAAATCGGGGCAGGTTTGGCTGATTTCTTACCCCCTTTGCAGGGTGTTCTGTGCTGGCTGTGCTGGGCGCGGTACCCCTCCACCACCTCCCACTCTCCGTTATCCCTCTTGATGGGGAAAGACACGCTCAGGACGTGGTTGCAGGGCTTGATGATGCGCAGGATGCCCCGCACACGGTTCCTCTTCTGCTCGGGGCTCTCCCGGGTCTTCAGGTCCTCCACCAGCTTGTCCTCCACGATGGCGGCGCCGCGGTCGAAGAAGCCCTCGACCATGCGGAAGAAGTTGGGGTCGTCGGGCTTGTCCGCCGCGTCGGCATAACGACGGACCCGCATCAGGGACGAGGACACCGGGAGAGCGGAGTCCACGCACCCCGAGGCCAGGGCACTACCCGCAGAGCGGCTCAGCAGCTCCCCGAAATACCGATACATGACTGGGACTAACTAACCGTGTAGACGAACTGATAAAAAAGGCAACTAAGCAACAAGGACAATGGGGGTGACGACAGGAAAAGAAGGGGGTAGAAATGAGCGACACAGCAACTCCTCACCGTGTCCCGTCCTCCGGCCGAGTGGGGAATGGCATCCTGTGTCAGTTTGCTTTAAAAGGCAGCACGAGCCAAAGAGGAGCGGCGGAGAGCTCCTCGGGACGCCGACGCACGCGGAAGAGGAGGACCAAACCAGCAGTTGACAGCGCGCGCTCCCGAGTTTGAACCGTTGTTTTTTTTTGTTTTTTTTTTTTAAGATCAAGGAAAAAAAATTTAAAAAATGTTAAATATTTACATTTATACAATAAGACAAGAAAAGCATCTGAAATAATGCACAATCGGAAGGACAACCGCAAGAATTAAGTAATTTTTAGGTTGACAGCGCGCGCTCCCGAGTTTGAACCGTTGTTGTTTGTTTTTGTTTTTTTTAAACAAGGAAATTTAAAAAATGTTGTTTAAATTCATTTATTTTTAATGTAGGTGGTAATGTTTGGGTTGTAATGCTGCTTTAAATGTCCAGTGTGTAACATTTAACAGGCTCTAGATAAGCTGAATATATTAATATTTCCCTTAGAATGAGTTGTTTTTATCTACAGACGCCAGGGGTCGCCTTCCACGCAGGCTGCCATGTTGAACTGCCATGTTTCTACTGTACAGTAGCCCAGAAGGGACAAACCAAACACTGGCTATAAATAGGGCCTTTTGTGTTTTGTTTTTTTTTTGCGAGTTCTGCAGCCACCATAGTTTTTCCTACACACTTCACAGCCCGTTCTCGTATTATTAATAATTATTAATTAATTATTATTAATATAATTTTTTTAAATGAACATAAATACTTAATAGGGTTCTTTTTTTGACAAAGTTTTTTCTTGGCTCTTTGGTTGTATTAACTGCGTACTTTTCTAACTCAGGACGAGGCTCTGTGCTCTCAGCTTCATGTTTACCGTACAGACGTGTCTATCAGCAAAACCAAAAAGTGTCTAACTATTCCTTTAACACAACCGTGGCATAATTACCTGGCAGATTTTTTAATTAAGTTATGATAACACATTAAAGCCAAAGCCAATTATAAGTAGCATGATTTCCCTTCATCACTTATTTCCTTTCTGACCAACATCCTTTGAAAAAAACAAGACATTTTAGTACGGCTAGTAATTTCCTAGTAGGAAACTTGAAGGCCACATAATATTTAAACTGATTGCATTATAAATATCAATCTTTGTTAGGGTAAAAGTAGGAACATAAGCAGGCAGATATGAAGTGCATCAGCTTTGTCATTCATTAGCTTTTGTACGGCGTCCACAGTGTTACAGTTTTGTACTTTGTAGTTTGTGCAAAGGATCTGTGTGAGGCCTGCTGTCATCAGCAGTTCCTTGATCTGTTGAGTGAGTGACACAGCCATGAGGGGAAAGAGAGAGAGGGTCAGGTGGGAGATGTTGAAAAGGCTCATTGTGTTTACGTCAGTCATTAACCACCCTCATGGACAGCTACATTAATGAGGGGGTTGAGCTGTTGATGTACAGTTTGTGGCTTTAAGCACACTGACAGCTTTTGTTGAACACTTTCCACATTGGCATTAGTATGAAAAATAATCTACAGCCACACTAGCAGCTCTGTGAGACCAGTATGCTATCATGGCTGCAATAACTGATGTTTAGTAGATGTAATGTTTACAATATTCACCATATTAGTTTGGTGTGTTAGCATGTTAATTTGCTAATGAGCTCTAAACACAAAGCACAGCTGAGGTTGGTGGTAGTGGCATTAGTTTTATAGGTATTTGATCATAAAACAAAGCACTGGACAAACTTTGACTTGATTGATAAAGTAAAGGGATGACCAAAGTTATTCATTTCATCCCATGGGGGGACATCTGTGTATACCAAGTTTCCATGGTAATCCAATCCAATAGTTAAGACATTTCACTTTAAACCACAAATGCCTGCCAGAAAAACAAATGATTGACAATTTTGTCTGAAAAACCACAGTATTGTTCTTGAAGCAGCCATCAGTAGCTATAGTTCATTGTCTTCCTGTTGAGCTTAACCATAAAACCAGCTGAGGCCTAGTAGTATGGATCATGTTTTCTTGGTACACTACTTTAATACAGACTCTACTGGCAAACAGCCTACCTCACTGTCTAGATGTGTTTGTGCTATGGTGGATGAATGTGTGCGCATACAAGCATATTATATTTGTGCAATTATATGTGTGCAAGCGAGAAGGCATAATTTAGGGCAGGAGCTCATCCACGGTGCGTGTGTGAATGGGGATTTGCTGGAAAGCATTTCGGAGACAGCTGGAACAAAGCAGAAGGGTCTGTGTGTGTGTGGTGAGTGTCTTGCACTGAGTTCTGATGGCGCCACCAGGTTACTTGAGATTATTTTAATTAAAGGGCATTTTGACTCAGCATAGGAGCAAGGTATTGTGGTTACAACCTATTGATCAGGGATAAGGTTCTGAGAACATGAAGCAAACTAAACTATGCTGTGTTATTCCATGTTTAATTTTACAGGCTTACAGTATAATATTTTATGTTTGTTTATGTTCATCTTCATGTATTCA